GAAATACAATGTGACACAGAGGGCCATAGCTGAGTAAGCTGGTAGGTTGACGTAAATAACTGGACTCTGCAACAGGGCAAAGGGTTTTATCCACAAAATACTACATAATCTGCAGGCCTAGTAAAAGGCTTCAGCAAGCTAACAAGAGAAAACAAAATTGAGCTGTACAACACCAATCAAGAATACCTACCACAAGAAAAAAAAAAATGCAATTCAACTACTGTATACTCCTACAACTGGAGGATAAATAAATAACACAACAGAATTTGAAATTTATTGTGATGCCATTTGTGGGCTGGACCAAGATTTTGATATACTACTGCACAATGCAAAATTTTTTTTTAAAAATTTGGAGACAGGTACACTTTAAACATTAACCAGCTCCATGCTATTTGAATGCCTGTGGATAAATGTGCATCAATTGACTATTAACACCACACAACGCTTTTTACTCAGCACCATCGCTTAATCAATTTATCTTGCTTTCGATATTTGTATTTTAGAGTCATTCAACAAGCTGTGCTAGTAGCCGGGAAAACATTGGCTGGGCAAATTCTTCCATCTTATTCGATCTTGAGAACGCCTTCCTAAGTGCAACCAGTGCCATTTAGAGTCCATATAGCAAGAGTCTTTCCATAGAGAAGTGAAAGAAAAGGGATAATAGGGAGGGAGGGCAGGGAGGGGGGAGGGGAGAGATGCCCACAGGGAATACTGCCAAATGAGATTTAGATCTATTGAGATAAATAGTTAAGGGGAAAAAAAAAAAAAAAAAAAAAAAAAAAAAAAAGACACCCTGTAGGCAAATAAGATATGTCAGTAGGAACAGAAGAGATGTGATTGTAGAGATAACAGTTCCTATTAGAACACCAAAGTAATCCTCTATCCTTTTAGGATAGCATCTCTTGACTCACCTGCTGGTCAGTAAACTGGTCAGAAAACTGTCAGCTACATATTCTACCTACATATTGGTGTAAAAAAAAAAAAAAAAAAAAAAAAAAAAAAAAAAAAAAAAAAACGGAAGAAGATGGTCAAACAAACTTTCCCACAATCAGTTCAACCACTTCCTGAATAAAGGTCTCATCCAATGGTAAAAAGCAACACCAACCATGCTTAACACCTAAAGACTTCTACCAACTGTGCCTGTGTAACGGTTTTGGAAGATCTGCCTGTCAGGAGGTAGAAGATTAATTTGGTCTAAAAACTTTCCCATAACCCAGAGAACCAGTTCCTTTGTACAACCCACCTTCCCAAAAAAAAAAAAAAAAAAAAAAAAAAAAATGTAATATGTGAATAACCAAGCTTTCACACCTAGAGACTTCTTCCACCTGCAACAGTTTCAGTAGATCTACCAACCAAGAGGTGGAAGAGCTTACACACATATTTAGACTTATCATACAGAAAACCACTTGCTGACCTATTGTGGCAGAGGAGTCTGCATTCATAAGATAGCAACGCACAAATGTGCCGTCAAAGCAGCTTCCGAAGACAAGCAATACGCATTACAATTCAACCCATTCACAAGGTCACAAGTTAGGGGATGCTGGTCTTGTCAGGTTATCACAAAACATCAGCCTATTGGCCTTGAGCTACAAAGACAGCTAGGAAACCGCAATAAAATGCAAATGTCTCACACAGAAAGAGAATATATATATATATATATAATTTTTCTTTTTATCTCACACATATGCTATCAGACTTTTACTATTAAAGGCAACAAAACCAAAATGAACAAGGGCAGACTATTGTCTGGCTAGAGATGGGTTAAACAATGTAGTCCCGAGCTACTCACAAATGGGTCCATTCTTGCCAGACAGAGCTATTCAAAGCCTCCACCTCAATCCTTGATTAGCCGGGGATAGACAAGCCATTAAAAACGCATCCACCTCCAACTATCACAGATAATGTGCCTCATTAATGCGCCACAATAGCTCTGACACACAGTTGTAAGAAACTCCTGGGGAAATTGGGAAGGAGTCTATTCACTGATAATACAGAGAGGGGAAAAAAAGGTTTAAGGCATAATGTGATTTAATTGGCCTCCCAAGTAGAGATCTGGAAATGCAACTTTATTATGCACCAAGAAGAATCACACGATATCGTCACACGTATTTTATGCAGAAACCGCCAATGAATAGCTATATCGAATCGGGAGCTGAAATTGTACAGTCGCTCAATGGCACAAAAGCCAAGGTCTCCCTTTCACTTTTGAAAAACTGGTCATTTCTTCAACACCCAGTAAATGAAGCATCCGCGTAGATTACAGCGTCAAAGGAAACCTAATACTTTTTGTCTGGGAACTAGTCTAGCTTCTCAAAACATCAAGATCATAAAAAGGAAAAAATATTTAAAAAAAATCCCAGGGAAAGTGTTTTAACAAGGAGAAAAGCGGTTTATCTACAACACAGCACGGTTGATGGATATGCAGGTCTGAAATTTGAAAGTTTATTATTCAACAATTGAAGGAAGGAAGAAAACAAGGACTGAAGATTCTGAAAGGGTCATGGAAAAAGTCTGTCATCTGCACGGTCCTTAAGTGCTACCCACATAATCGGATCCATGCCAGCTACCGACTTTGCCTTATGCACACTGGCATCCACATATGGTGGAGCCCAGACGCCTAAAATAAACCACTAGCGTCTGGACAGTCAGTCTGGGTGGCATGTCTTCATTCGGCTGCCCCAGTTATGTATACACCACCTACACACAATGCAGAACACTGCCACCATTCTGGTGCCAGGTGCCTAGCTCACTGGACGGCAAGAAATAAATACAATGTCATTCCTAGAAAGAATTGACGATCATCTTCAGCCGTGGAATGCATGGAAGGCTACACATCCCTGCCCAGTGCACATTTATATAGAAGAGCCTACAAGATGGCCATCTGCATTTTTTTTATATAGAGGGGTTAAGGGACACTGGACTGGTCTGCACCTGTTCTGTACTCCTACATATAAATGATGTACAAAACACACGTCCTGGATTTCCAAACGCTACTGTAATCAATAGCTGCAACCATAGAGGGTGCTCAGCAATTATTTTTATCATCGAATGACATCAACACACACACCGGCGTGGGTTTCCATCAGGTCACATTAAATGCCACTGCGGAACCACGTACTTTGTTGCCTCTTCAAGCACCATAAGGTGACAGCTGTCCAGAGGGACACACCGGCTCTCTGGAATGAGGTGACCTGGGAGTTCTGCTCACTTTTGTCACACTCCGCTGCCTCCTGAACTCTCTCCTATGGCAGCCTAGGGATGTCTGCAGACAAATTACACCTTTATGACCAGTAATAACTTCTGTCCAAATGCCCCCAAACAAACTTGAACTGCAATTAACCCAAACCGTCCTCTGCAGCAACAAACAAAACCAGCAACACCCCCCCTTGTATGTATCCCCCGCATTATCACAACAGACCCACAAAGCACAACCATTCACCCCTTCTGTGCCAGGACCGATATCTCAACCCATTTGCTGACAAAACACTGAAACCCTGAACCAAGCCAATAGATGACAAAACCCACAGAACAAAAATTAACATCTTCACCGTCAAAGACATCACTGAATCACAGTGCTGCTCCCCTTTACTGATAAAACAACAAAAATATATATAAATCTGACATACCAAATATATTGAAAGAAACAAAAACTAGATGACAAACTCCATCAGACGGAATGTGAATCGCAAAGTCAACATTGTTTAACCTCTCAGATGCCAAATTCCAGCAGAATAAATCTGAAATAAGTTTTAAAAATAAATTCCCCACTGAAAGAAAAAAAAAAAAAATAAATCAAATACAATTTAACATCTTATGTGCCACAACCCCCAGCAGCAGAAACATGTAATACCATTTATAAATACACAAAATTTAGAATTAACCCATTGGCTGACCATTGTCAATGAACAAACATTAGTATAAAAATCAAAACATTAACCCCACTGCATCAAAAATGCCAGATGGATGATTAACCCCTTAGGTGTAAAACCCACAAGACTAAACATACATTAATACTAAAAACAAACATAAAACACACACCAGACTTAACACTATTAACCTTGTAGCTGCCAGAAAAAGGTGAAACCTTGCTGATTAACCCCTCCTTAGCCTGAAAAAAATGACTACAATGTTAACCCTTAGCCTTTAACATAAAGGGAGACCCACTGAGACGATGAACCACTTCGCTGCCCAAAACCTAGAGGAACTTAACCCCTTAGCTGCTCCCCCCAAAAAACAACCATCCTTAAGATGACTAGCCCCTTGGCTGCCAACAACTTGACGGAGGCGGCCAACTTGAGACGGTCAACTCCTTCGTTGTAAGAAAAAAAAAAAAAAAAAAGGAAAACCCATCTTGCGTTAACGCCTTGGCGGACCCCTTCCCAAACTACTGGGGGGGTGAGCCCCCTACTTGTCCAAAACTAGAGAGGTCCACCACTGCCAACTTTAGACCTCCGGAACGCAAAGTGATTAACCCCCTACCTGCCAAGACCTAGGGCCGATTAACCCCTGAGCTGCCAACCTCCGATGACCAAGGTAGCTGCCAAGGGAAGGGCTAGGGCGATTAACCCCTCAGCTGCCAACCTTCGGTGACTAGGGTAGCTGCCAAGAGCTAGGCTTGGTTAACCCCTGAGCTGCCAACCTCCGTGACTAGGGTAGCTGCCAAGAGCTAGGCTTGGTTAACCCCTGAGCTGCCAACCTCCGGTGACTAGGGTAGCTGTAGCTGATTAACCCCAAGCTGCCAACCTCCGGTGACTGGGTAGCTTAGGGCGATTAACCCCTGAGCTGCCAACCTCCGGTGACTTGGGTAGCTGTCAAGAGCTAGGGCGATTAACCCCTGAGCTGCCAACCTCCGGTGACTAGGGTAGCTGCCAAGAGCTAGGGCGATTAACCCCTAAGCTGCCAACCTCCGGTGACTAGGGTAGCTGCCAAGAGCTAGGCTTGATTAACCCCTGAGCTGCCAACCTCCGGTGACTTGGGTAGCTGCCAAGAGCTAGGCTTGATTAACCCCTGAGCTGCCAAGCCCTGGAGCCCGGCCCCCGGCTCACCCTGGAAGTTTTCCTCTTGTACTTGTTGCTGTAGTCGAACTTGTCCTTCATCTCGTCCAGCAGTCTGGCCAGCCTGGCCTGCTCGTCGTCACAGCCGGCGCTATAATCCGGGGCCAGGAGGATGTAGGCCCTCCAGTTGGCCGAGTCGAAGCCCCAGTGGCACGTCCGGTTCTCCAGCGCCTTGTGCGAGTGGACGACGAACTTGTGCGGGGGGTAGAGGAGGCGGCAGTCCAGGCACTGGATGCAGGGGGCGCTGGGGTTGGCGTACAGCTCCGGCACGAACAGGCCCTTGCACTTGCCGAAGCACTCGTGGTAGACGCGGAAGCTCCTCTCGGTGACCTCCAGCTCCAGGCCGCCGGAGCCCGGGAAGTCCTTCTTGCAGCGCGGCGGGTAGCTGCCCCCGTAGAGCAGGGCGTTGCAGAGGCGCTCGGCGTCGGTCTTGGTGATGAGGCCGCAGGAGGGCGCCGAGAAGGGCAGGATGCCCATGACTTTCAGGATCTCCAGCTGGTCGGCCGTGCACCGGGAGCAGTAGACGTGCAGCTCGTCGCACACCGAGTTGATCTGCTGCAGGCTGAAGTCCCGGAGCACCGAGTTGAGGATCTGCGGCAGGCACAGGCGCTTCTCCCCGCCGACCACGAAGCACGAGATGGTCTCCCCCTCCAGGATGGTCTCGCAGCGCTCCGTCGAGCGGTCGGACGGCATGAAGAGCGGCCCCCCGGGGATGACCGGAGGGGGCTGCACCGGCGGCAGGTGGAGGACGGGCTCGGCCGGCTCCTTGCCGCTCTCCTTCTTATACAGGTCCTGAGCCCAGCGGGCGGAGAAGGCGGCCGGGCCGCCCAGAGAGCTCATGGAGCTCAGGTGGAACTGCTCCAGGGTCTTCTGCAGACCGGGATGGGGCTGGAAGCTCCGGCTCACAGTCTCCATCATCGGGAAAGCGGGGGGTGGGGGAGGGGGATAGAGAGACGGAGAGGAAAGAACGACGGGGAGGGAAGGCGCGGGACTCTTCACGACCGGGGCTCCGCTGACAGCAACTTCACAGGCGCTCCATGGCCGGCCGGTCCCCGCCGCTTCAGCCCAGACACAGGCGACACGTGCCCCGCGACCCTCTGTCCATAGGGGGGGCTGCTGAGCGCTCACACACTGACAGTCAATGGGGAAGTCACTCCGCTCCCTGATAGGAGACGACGGGAAGTCCTGGCGCCGCTCTAGGAGAAACTTCCTCCGCGCTGATAGGACAGGCTGGGAAGTCCGCTCTAGGATCAAGTCCTCCGCACTGATAGGACAGGCTGGGAAGTCCGCTCTAGGATACGGAGAGGAAGTAGCTCGGCTCTGTGATAGGACAAGCTGGAAGTCCGCTCTAGGATACAGCGAGGAAGTCGCTGCGCTCTGTGATAGGACAGGATAGGAAGTCCGCTCTAGGATCCAGTCCTCGGCTCTGATAGGACAGGCTGGGAAGTGGTCGCGCGCTCTAGGATTGATACAAATAAAGTTCCAGTACGGGAAGCTCCTGGCGCTGTGATAGGACCCCGGCGGGGGAAGTAGTTCCTCTCAGGAGTTTCTCGTCATCCTGTCACAGCCAGCGCGGCGGCTCCCCCGTGCACACAGCCCGGCTCTCCAATTCAGAGTGCTTAGCTAATACCCTGTGTGTGCCTGAGCGCTCCAGCCTCCTCCTCCCCTCGTTTTTTTCCCTCTCCCTTCTCCACCCCCTTTTTCTCTCTCTCTCTCTTCTGTTTGTTGGTGTCTGCCTCAGTCATTGAATCCCAGCCAAGAATGTGACCAACTCCCCAGGCTGGCTCTTCCAGGAACAGCCGCCCCTCCCCGCCGGCTTCTTTTTTTTTTTTTTCCTGCTGCAAAGCGGAAAAAAAAACTTGTCTGTAGAAAGCTTACTGAAAAAATAGTGGTTGGTGCGCCGGCGGGGGAGGGAGACAGGCGCGGGCGGGCACGTTTAGAGGGTGGAGGCAGGTAATGGTTGTCAGCTGTGACTTTTTGACCCCACTGGAGGGTCCTTCTGGCAGAGAGGAGGACTTGTCGCCTATTTCACACAGAAGGATGGGGAGTAGGAAAGGAGATGAGGACGCTGGGGCTGAGGGGGTTCTGGAAATGCTGCCTGCCTGGCTCTTTCCCAGCTGACGTAAAGTGACACTAACCTCTGGTTTAGAAGAAAAAAAATATGTACGTAGTACCGGCTATTTCTCTGACTCCAAATCTGCAAATTCCTTTTTATTTCTGCTGCTGCGATCTGACTTCCTGTGAGAGGGTGACTACATGATTATATTATTATTATACAGGATTCATATTATTATTCAGGATTTATATTATTATTATTATACAGGATTTTATTATTATTATTATTATACAGGATTTATATTATTATTATCAGGATTTATATTATTATTATACAGGATTTATATTATTATTATTATTACAGGATTTATATTATTATTATACAGGATTCATATTATTATTCAGGATTTATATAGCACCAACAGTTTGCTCAGCGCTGTACATTATAAAGGGAGACAGTACAGTAACAATACAAATCAATACACGGGTTCGAGGGCCCTGCTCCTTGGAGCTTACAATCTAGGAGGGGGGGGGGGGGGATAGTGGTACAGGAGGAGATAGCTGTGGGGGATGGAGTGGTAGGAAGAGTGGAGGAGATCGGCAATTAGCAGAGGGTGGGAAGGCTTCCCTGAAGAGGTCGGTTTTCAGGGTGCGCCTAAAGGTGAGGAGAGTAGGTGACAGTCTGATGAATTAGGGTAGGGAGTTCCAGAGAATGGGCGAAGCCCTGGAGAAGTTCTGGAGATGGGCATGGGAGGAGGAGATCAGGGAACTAGAGAGTAGGAGGTCTTGTGAGGAGCGGAGAGTACGTTTTGGGTGGTATTTGGATATCAGATCAATGATGTAGTTTGGGGCAGTATTATGAACAGCTTTATAAGTCAGTGTTCGCATTTCGAATTTGATCCGTTGGGCAATCGGAAGCCAGTGGAGGGATTGGCAGAGGGGGGTGGCGGCGGAAACGGAGCGGTTAGTAAGGTGGATGAGTCTGGCCGCAGCATTCAAGATAGACTGAAGCGGGGATAGTCTGCGGAAAGGGAGGGAGTTACAGTAGACGAGGCGTGATATAATGAGGGAGTGAATGAGTTGTTTAGTGGTTTCCAGGGTTAGGAACGGCGTATTTTGGAGATGTTGCGGAGGTGAAGTCTACATGAGTTTGTCAGCGAATGGACTTGCGGCTGGAAGGACAGATTGGAGTCTAGGATGACACCTAGTACTCTGGCTTGAGGGGAGGGACTGATGGTGGTGTTGGTCTTGATGGAGAAGCTAGGAGGGGGAAACTAGGAGCTCAGTTTTGGACCTGATTTAGTTTGAGGAAGTGGAGTGACATCCAGTCCAATATGCCGCTCAGTAGGCTTGTGATACCAGTGGAGACTGAAGAGTGAGGTGAGGGGTAGACAGATAGATTTGCGTGCCATCAGCATAGAGATGGTAGTTGAAGCCGTGAGAGTGTATCAGTTGGCCAAGGGAGGAGGTGTAGATGGAGAAGAGAAGGGGCCCGAGGACAGAACATTGAGGGACCCCAACAGAGAGGGGGAGTGGAGAGGAGGTGGCAGCATTATAGGTAACACTGAAGGAGCGCTGTGATAGATAGGAGGAGAGAGCAGAGTCTCTGAGGCCAAGAGAGTGTAGTTGTTTGAGGAGGAGGGGGTAGTCAACCGTGTTGAAAGCCGCGGAGAGGTCGAGGAGTAGGAGGACTGAGTAGTGGCCATTAGCTTTGGCGGTTAGCAGGTCGTTGGTGATTTTGAGTAGGGCAGTTTTGGTGGAGTGTAGGGGGCGGAAGCCAGACTGTAGGGGATCAAGGAGGTTGTTGTCATTGAGGTGGGAACTCAGGCGATTATAGACTAATCGCTCAAGGAGTTTGGATGTAAATGGCAGCAGGGAGATGGGTCTAAGGTTGTTTGGGTTGGTGGGCTCCAGGGAGAGCTTTTTAAGTATGGGAGTGATGTGCGCGTGTTTTAGAGGGGAGGGGAATGTGCCAGTAGAGAGGGAATGATTAAAGATGTGTGTGAGGGAGCGTAGGATGGAGGAGGAGGGTGATCGTAGGAGTTGTGTGGGGACAGGGTCAAGGGGGCAGGTGGTGAGGTGGGATTCAGAGAAGACCTTAGTGACCTCTTCAGTGGTAGCAAGGTCGAAGGAGTGGAGTGTTGAGGGGGTTTTAGTGTGAAGAATATTAGGTGGGGTGGAAGTCTGGGCAGTGGCGAGGTTGAAGGAGTGGAGTGTTGAGGGGGTTTTAGTTTGAGGGATGCTAGGTGGGGTGGAAGTCTGAGCAGTGGCGATGTCCCTACGAATTGCGTCAATCTTGTTTTTGAAGTGGTTAGCAATCTCGTGGGCGGTGAGTGAGGTACTGGGTGGGGGCGGAGAGAGTAGAGAGTTAAAAGTGGAGAAGAGACGGCGATGACTGGAGGAGAAGGTATTAATGAGGATAACAAAGTAGGCTTGCTTGGCAGTGTGAAGGGAGGAAGTGTAGGTGAGGAAGGCAGATTTATATCGGGGTGAACGCTTGTTGGGATCTGGTTTTGCGCTATAGCCGCACCAGCTCACGACTGCGTCATTTGAGATTTTTGGTATGGTCAGTCTGCCAGGGTTGTAGCAGTCGGGTCTAATGCTTCGTGTTGTTGGGGGTGCTAGCGAGTCTAGAGCGGCTGACAGCGAGTTGTTATAAGCAGCAGTGGCCAGGTCAGGGCAAGACGGGAAGGATATTATTATTATTATACAGGATTTATATTATTATACAGGATTTTTTTAGTGCCAACAGTTTTGCGCAGCACTTTACAAAATGAAGGTAGACATTACAGTTACAATACAATTTGGTACAAGAGGAAACAGAGGGCCTGGCTCGTTAGAGCTTACAATCTACAAGGAAGGGTTGAGTGGTATAAAAGGTAATACCTGTGGGGGGATGAGCTGATGGAGGAAATAAAAGGCAGTTTACTAATTAGAATCCGGATAGGCTTTAAAGAGAGAGGTTTTCAGGGATTGTCTAAAAGGTGGAGAGATTAGGAGATAGCCGGACAGATTGGGATAGGGAGTTCCATAGGATTGGAGAAGCTTGGGAGAAGTCCTGGAGGCGACATGGGAACTAGACTACATTCGCTCTCCATGTTTTTGGCCATGGCCCCCCATGCAGCAACATTGCCACTCTCTCTTGCTCACTCCTGAGATGGACTGTGGGATTTGTAATGTGCACATGACTGCAATTAACATGCACTGCTCATGCCACACAAATAAGGGGGAAAGGGAGAGGTTCAGGAGCTCACTGAGGACAGTACAAGGAGGATCTCGACCTCCTACACATCTCCAAGCTTCTTTTTTGTTTTTGCTGCTATGATCTGACTTCCTGTAAGCCCTGCTTCCTAGATTAGTGGTTTCCCTGCAGCTGCATTGATTTGAATGGGCTGCTGTATCCACTGAAAATGCAGGAAAAAGGTCCCTGCAGCGTTTCAGAAAATGTAGCCACAAGGACCCACACAGTGCCATGCAGTTTCCAGTGCTTCCATTAAGATCAATGGTACTCCACGCATATCTTCTGATTGGCAGTGCATTTTCTGTTGGAGTAGTTGCGGCTGTGGGAACAGGCGTGGTCCCACAGCGGCTGATTGGCAGTGCATTTTCTGTTGGAGTAAACCCCCACACAAGTGTGAACCTAGCCTTAGAGGGTGATTATGTTCATTCTCCATGGTCCCACTGTGTGTAGGAATGTATCCACCATCTCTTGCTTATACCTGAGGCCTGGTTCACACCTATGCGTGTTGCGATTGATGCATTTTTCTAAGGCATTCTGCAGTGCA